TTAAGGACAATTGGGTGAGAAAAGTACTCTCTCACGGGAGGGGGGCCAGTTCCAGCAATAAAAGATATTCTTCCTTTAAGGAAGAGATTAGCTTCTACTTTTCTCTCAATTATTCATATCATTGTAGACAACAGTGGCATAAAAGTGACCTTAACATTAACATGTTTCAAAACAAAACAAAAAAATGTGAGGCCTATATTGTCCTGATGTGATAATTCTTGTTTAGTGTTATTTCCTAGTGCACATGTCTGCCGTCAATAGCGGGGATGGATATAGGCGATGCCTTGCCCAAACCTACCACCGACAAACTCGATTTTGTGCGCATAAGCCAGTGTATGCGTTAATCATACTGCCCTATGTAAAATAACGATATATAAGAAAAGTAGTCATTATATGCTATCAAAAAAAAACCTGAGTGAACCAATATTATAATTCTAGTAAAACAATTTTGAGAACAATTCTTACTTACCCAGAGTAGCAAGCAGAAGCTGGTCAGTCTTTCTTCCCATACTCTATGGATCTGAAGCTAATCGTAAAGAAAAAAAAGTATCAGTCACCACATATTAATTACAGAATATTCAAGATTAAGCGCTTAATGTAGGGGGTCTACAAGCTGTCCGATTCGAGGACCAGATTTTAACCGGGGATTATCACCCTTTTTCCCAGGTCAAGACAAACAATCTTGGTGCTATATTTTTTGTTCGCATCGAGACCATACTGTCTGTTAAATATCACTATGCAGTTAAAGCATCAAAACACAAAGTCTAGCGTATTGAACTGTAATGTTATCATTACTGGAGTTTGAGCAACCTGCAATTTGTAAACTTTGCCTTCTCTCACTCCCCATCCTCCTTCGTTTGCTTCCTAATCTTTACTTCGTTTCTTTAACTCTGTGTGTGTGTGTGTGTGTGTGTGTGTGTGTGTGTGTGTGTGTGTGTGTGTGTGTGTGTGTGTGTGTGTGTGTGTGTGTGTGTGTGTGCACTTCTGTACACACAAATAAATATGAGTTAGTGTTTGTGTGTGTGTGATTATAAATGTGGGATTCAAACACCTTATAAACTTAACATTAATCAAAACGTGGAAATAATTCATCCATTGTATTTTAACCTCTGGTGGTAAGGTATCATCCGTTTCATTGGTTATTTGACTATTTGGTCATGGCCAATGGCACTGCACTAGATAATTCATCTGAAGTTATGCTGGGTAAGCTTTGAATTTTCTTGATCCTGGGAAATTATTTTTTATCTCATATAGGAAAATATCTCTGGAAGGTTCCCAGATAGCACCCAATATCTTTTGTTTTAATATCAGTTTCAGTGCATTTGTCAAGATTTGGAATACCAGATCGTTTCCATAATTTAATTTTGAAGCCAACTCGTTTCACTACCCATTGCACTTCATTAATAATTCGCAAAGCGGTATCCTGATCTGCCACAGACACAAAAACTCGCCGTATGACAAGACTTCCTTATTCCTTAAGGTGCATATTTGACGGCAAGATATTTCACTTTCTTAGTCAGATATCTTGGTTTGATTTCGTTCCCTAACCAAGCATTTTCAAATTTCCTTCAGAGGATGCTTGCTAGTTTCGTGACGTCACAGTATTAAACCATCTGCGAAGAAAGGCCGACAGAAATGAGTGATAACGATGAAATTCTCTTGATAATTTACTTATATTGTCGCCAATTAATGATGTTATAAACTAATAAGTTCTTATCATATCTGTGCCGCCCAGAAGTATTAAATAGATAATATTGTAGCTTAACTATTCTCTGGAAGATAAGTATTTGCTACTTATAATTCGATTTCGACATCCCGGAGATGTTCGAAGTGCGTTTTTATTAATTTTATTTCCATTCTAAAACCGCAGTTTGGAATAGTATGAATGATTTATATCATTATTTTAGATTATTACTCTAAAGTGTGTGGACATCCTTTTCTCCGTTTGTACTACATAATATGTATTTTTTTCGTTCTTCTTCAAAGTAAGGAAAGATTTCTCCGTCGGTAATTTCACTATCATTACTAGATCTTGTTTACTTGCCTAAGTTAGGAAAATCCTGGACAAGTAAGCATTAATGAAGGGGACTGAAATAATACTTTACATAGATGAAGCTGAAAAAATCATCTTAAATGAAGGGATACTCATCTTAAATACTAGTTCGTTTTTAACTTTTATTTTATCTTTCTTTTACTATACTTTTACTGGTCTTTTTACTGATCTTTTTGCTCTACTTTTACCGTACTTTTACCATACTTTTATTGATCTTTTACTGAGCTATCGGTATCTTATCTTTACTTTTTCTATTCGTTATTTTACCCTTATTCCCGATTGTTTTACCTTATTTCTACTACACGCGTCTGTGCCTATTGCTCGTTCTACCACTACTATTGGTATTACTACTGCTATAGCTCGTGCTACTACTGCCATTTCTGCTATTGCTACTATCACTACAGTGGAAGGACACTAGAGAAGAATAAAAGCAGCATTGTTATCTCGGTTAATGTTATCGAGAGCGACGCACGGATAGAGTAAAATGGACACTTCCATTTTGTAGAGCATAATAAATAGAGTAGGAATCAATACAGGTAAATCTGCAGGGGTCCCCTATTTATTTGTGACAAAAACAGGCTCTGCATGACATCCCACCCACGTTTACCTTGCGAGGACCAAATCAAATGTGACGCCTAACTCATTATTGCAACTTTCAGGTAGTCCATGTATTACTACGCACTTGTGAGAACGATTATTTTGTAATTACGAGTTTTTTTCCGAATTCACGCATTCAATTAATTCTTTTACTTTTATTATACTTCTTTTATGAATATTGGTATTTTTTACAATATTTTGTACAATAACCTTCTGCGCATGCGCATTTTGCCACCGGGAAATTTGACAGGCCGTGCGACGCCATTCGTTGAGAAACGCTGGTGTGAAATGTTTCATTTTAAGTGTGTTGCGTCGATTCTGGGTCACTTTTAAAGCCATTTGGTGGATATATAGAACAAATTGACGTTAGTTTCTATCTCAGCCTGATATTTGAGCCCGACAAGTGCCCCTAATGCCGAAAAAAGTTAATAGAAAACAAGGATTTCGGACCATAGATGGAAGTGAAGAAAATTTCGCTATATAAAGGTATGTGGTTTTACCGTGGCGCATATATTATACCACGGGGGTCCAGGGCGCAGAGCCCCCTGGCTAGGGAATATATAGATCGTAGCATATAAATCCCAAAGGGTTAAGTTGCTTTATTGGTTTGGACGCATTGTACGATTCCCACGGGAATCTGGATTATGTGAAATCCCGTAGATTTTTACCGAATGATGGTTCTGATTCCTGTAGTTTTTTGTTGTTGTTTTTTTCTAAAATTGGCGCGCCGGTCCGTATACATTCAAAAATGGCAGGGACGTCCAATTTCCATCGTTTTTTGTGCTTTTTGGAAATTTGGCTCGGGGTTCTCGAAAAATCCTATTGCCATCCAGTACCAGCCATTATCTTCCCCCGGTTCTCCACACAAGATCGTTGGGTAGAAGAAACAAAAAAGTCTGATTTTGTGAGAGAGCGTCGCTCTCGGTAACAGTTACCGTTAGGTCTTTTCATATATATACATATATATGTATATTAATATATATATAGATAGATATAGATATGTGTGTGTGTACATATATACATATATATACTTATATATATATATATGTATATGTATTATATTTTTTTTTTGTTTGTTTGTTTGTTTGAACAGTCATTCATTCCACTGCAGGACATAGGCCTCTCTCAATTCACTATTGAGAGGTTATATGGCAGTGTCACCTTTGCCTGATTGGATGCCCTTGCTACTTAACCGCGGTTCGGCGCGCTAACACCTGTGCCACGGCGGTGACTTCCCCTACGACACCTGCGTTTGACTTCTCAAGGCGATATGTCGTTTTCTCGGGCTCGAGCTAACAGTCAGAGCGCAGGCATTTTTGCGACACACACACATGTATGTATATATATTGTAAATGTATGTATATATATGTATATATATATACATATATATACATATATTTACAATATATATACATACATACGTAAATATATAATTTATGTGTGTGTGTATGTGCGTACATATATATGTGTGTTGTGTGTGCATATGTGTGTGCATATGTGTGTGTCTGTGTGTGTGTGTGTGTGTGTGTGTGTGTGTGTGTGTGTGTGTGTGTGTGCGTGTGCGTGCGTGTGCGTGCGTGCGTGTGCGTGTGTGCGTGTGCGTGTGTGTGTGTGTGTGTGTGTGTGCATGAGTGTGTATATATATGTATGTGTGCATGCGTGCGTGCGTGTGTGTGTGTGTGTATGAGTGTGTATACATATGTATGCGTGCGTGCGTGTGTGTGTGTGTGTGCGCGCGCGTGTGTGTGTGTGTATGTGTATGTGTGTGTATATGTCTGTATATATGTAAGTATATAAATATATATATGTATGTGCGTGTGTGTGTTTGTGTGCGTGTGTGTTTGTGTGCATGTGTTTTTGTATGTGTGTGTGTTTATGTGTGGTGTGCGTGTTTATATATGTGTGTGTTTGTGTGTGCGTGTGTGTGTGTGCGTGTTATATTATGCGATAACATTAATTCACATTTACTAGGCTTCCGCCTGCACAATTGCAGACATGACATCTGTAGGCCTTCCGCCCCGTGATGTCATCTTCCATTACCCAATCCATTGCAATCTTTATTTCCGATTAGCACTATACCAGCCGTAAATATATGCTCTACAGTTTATTTTACAGACAAATCCTGAGGAACACACGTACTCTCGTCAAGTATCAGAGCCTCTAAACCCAAAATCCATTACATAAAAAAGAGAAAAATATGCGACATTCAAGTCCATTACATTATCAAAAAAGAGAAAGAATATGCGACGTTCAGATCACTGAATAAATGAAAAGTAGCGTTCTGGCTTACATGAGCTTATCACTAATAAAGATCGAAGATACAGCGAAAGAGATCCACTCTCAGCAAAGG